TCTGTGAGAAGAAGTGTGTGCAGGGAACCCACCCTCAGACAGTTCTAGTTATACTGTGTGAGGAGAGGTGTGTGTAGGGCTTAGTGAGGTGTGCTCATGGGACATAGGAGTGGTCAGCAGGGAAGCTGGTTGGTGATGTTGATACTGTGGGGCCCTCAGCTGACCCAGGGGGGCTCTGGAGCTGGGAGGGTCCCTCAGAATTGTTCCACTTGAGGAAAATGGCCAGGCATTTACACCCCTGTGTAGAGGTCACTGGAAATGGGCTGCCCAAGGAACAGGTGTGGCCTCGGCCAGGAGTCACTTTGGGGTCAGAACAGTACCTGCAGGGGGACTCCACTGTGCCCTGGCCACAGACTGCCCTCCTGGAAACTGAGGGTTGAGCTCCTTGACCCTGGAGGGGAGCCTGGGCTGCAGCCCTGCGTCCACCATATGCCATTGTTTGGATTCAACCTTCTGCAACTCTTCTCTTTTTTTGAAGCAAGTACTTGAATCTTTTACTTCACAAACTCTGCCAAGAGTTCTCTCTTTATATTTTAGGTGAAGAGTAGTTAACTTGTTAAATCTTCCTCAGAAATTTTACCCAAACTACATTCAATGGAAGAGACAACTGAAAACGTGTCAGGAAATATAAGATGATAAGGCTTAGATATGCTGTTGCTGTTAAGTGCTGTCGAGTTGATTTTGACTTACAGTGACCCCATGTGACAGAGTAGATCCACCCCATAAGGTTTCCTAGGCTGTAATCTTTACGGGAGTAGATAACCAGGTCTTTCTCCCCCAGAGCTGCTGGGTAGGTTTGAACTGCCAACCTTTTAGTTAGCTGTCAAGTGCTCTTATAAGGCTTAGATATAAAAATCCAAAATAGAAATTTTTTAAATTTGTTTTAAAGTAGACTTTATTTTTTAGAGCAGTTGTAGGTTTACGGAGAAATTGTGCAGAAGTCCAGACAGTTCCCATATAACCCCCTGTCATGGACTGACTTGTGTCCCCCAAGAAAGCAGTGCTGGGAGCAGAGTGCGCCCTTTGGACCTGAGGTTCCTGCGCAGAGAAGCTCCCAGACCAAAGGAAGACTGATAACATGGACTTTCCTCCAGAGCTGTTGGAGAAAGTGTTCCCCTGGAGCTGATGCCCTGAATTTGGACTTGTAGCCTACTGGACTGTGAGAGAATAAATTTCTCTTTGTAAAGCCATCTACTTGTGGTATTTCTGTTGGAGCAGCAAAGGATGACTGAGACAGCCCCTGCCCACGCAGTTTGTCCAGGTACTACCTACCATCTTGCATTCGTGTGGTGCATTGGCTACAGTTGATGAACCAGTATCGATGCATAGTTATTAACTGAAGTCCATAATTTACATTAGGGCTCACTCTTTGCATTGTACGGTCCTATCCAAAATAGAATTTTTAATAATCAGGATAA